TTGCCTATCCTATACGCTATATGACTCCATTGTACTACCACTTCCGGACTACACCGTGTCCTGTAGTATTCACCTCCCCGTCTATCGGACCGATAGCTCTTTTATCCCAGCGGTATCAGATTCTGAGCAATTGAACTTTTTCGGGTCCCATCCCCACTTATGTTTAACCATATTCTACCATAGACTTGTTCGGCATCTATTCTGGTCAATAACGCAACTCTTTAGTAGTGGTCTAGTTAACCCAACCTACAGCGCAAGAGCCCAGTCTTCGGGTGAAACACTTTGCACTTGGTGGTGCTGTCTGTATTATTCCCTTACCCTTGGTCACTTCCGGAGCCGGCACTAGTGTCGTTTTTCTCTACAGCTGTTGCAAGTATTGATGTCCGTTCTCTGTCTTGTATTCAACACTGTACACCTGTCAGTCCATGCAGAGCCTAATAAAGCGTGCCGCTCCTGTATATAAATTAATCGGGCTGCCAGTAACTCACTAACCGGCAGTCGATTTGACTTTAACGTTCCACCGTGGACGTCTACTTTGGAGTGGCACCTCTAGCATCTTTTGGGGCTGCTGCTCTCACTACTGATTTTGCTGGTCCCTTTCAGCGCTGGTCTTACAACCATTATTTCGCTACAGCTGTAGTATTAAAGCCCTTCTCGCTCCTGATTTTAGCGTTGAATGCCTATAAGCCGGAAGTTTCTTCCTTATAATTAACGGGACTCCTGTTTTTGCCCCTTACTGCCATCTATTTAACTTGTTCGCCGCGCTGTGGAAGTCTCTGTCTTTTTCCGCTATCTCCGGTCTTTTTGGACTAACTTTGTGACCGTATTCTCGCTACAGCCTTAATATATAAATCCCATTCTCATCACAATGTTGACACTACGTCTCACTCCCTCACCAAGCTGTTTATCTAGCATCCGTTTGCTGAACCTGTTACGTTATCCTTTTCAAGGGTTTCAAACCCGGCGTTGTAACTCCACTGGCTCTCATACGTGTTCGAACGATAAGATCTACTACTCTCAACCGATCAACCAACCTATAGCTTAAGTGCATATTTACTCAGTTACTGCGTTCTTCTGATTCCCACAATTCCTTTACCGGTTAACAATGCTTGACACTACCGGTTTCCACACAGGATGACTTTTGCGTACGTTGGGCCACTTCGGACAGAATTTGTCTCTCACCTCCAGCTAATATCGGGTCTCATGCATACACTCAAAACTACGGATATGATGTATAACATATCCGGTCATCTCATTGTTCTCAACCAGTTTTAGATTTCAACAAGACGTGATGCTCCTTCAACGAACAGAACCCTGGGTTGTGCGCCACCTTATTTTGTACTGGCTGTACATAAAACGCTCTTGGGCAAAACACGCCCAAGCTGGACTGGTGCATTCTTGAAACACAACTAACAACGGAGTTGAGAATGCCAAATTGCGGTTGAAATAAGTTACCCATGCAACAGCTGGCCTTGTTGCAGCCGTTCGCAAAGTCTGGGAGCATTCGGAAGTTCTCCTGAAAGCGTTCCAGATGCCTGCGGCATTTGCTGTTACAGGCCTCAGCTACTAGAAGGCAGCGCATACATTAATCGCGCAGGTTGCTTCTTAACTACGTACGCATGCAACCTAATGATGCGCCATCTAGCACAACCCGTGTTACAAGCAGTTTACACGGACCTCGAAGGTGGAGTGGTATGTAAATAAACCTTGCTGACGCCTCCATAGTTTGGGAAATCGCACCATGGAAACAGCTTCACCATCGAGTGCTCCTTGGGAACAAATACTCGTCCAATTTAGGAAAACACGTGACTGCAGTTGCTGCGTTGAATGACGGCATACAAGCAACACGCGTACCCGACAAGTAAGCCGTTTCTGATATGTGCATCCATTTACAGGCCAAATACCTATTTGCACTCGCTGGCTGGCGGACCACAACCTACACACAGCGTCCATGAAGTTGCGGACGTTAAAACTTCCCGTTACGAAACCAACCACATCGGAAACCGCACCCCTTGTACATCGTCTGAGAAGCGCTGAAGAGATTAATCCATCCAGATTTTCGGAACTGCATCAAGAACTTCTGCGAGGGACCAACGAAGTAATTGGTGCTTCAGCAGACGTTCAACTTGCAAAGAAACAACCGCGTTGGCCGAAAA